CGTTGAGCAGTGCTTCGCTAGAGATGTTGAGCAGTGCTTCGCTAGAGGCGTTGAGCAGGGCTTCGCTAGAGGCGTTGAGCAGGGCTTCGCTAGAGGCGTTGAGCAGTGCTTCGCTAGAGGCGTTGAGCAGTGCTTCGCTAGAGGCGTTGAGCAGTGCTTCGCTAGAGGCGTTGAGCAGTGCTTCGCTAGAGGCGTTGAGCAGGGCTTCGCTAGTGGCGTTGAGCAGTGCTTCGCTAGAGGCGTTGAGCAGGGCTTCGCTAGAGGCGTTGAGCAGTGCTTCGCTAGAGATGTTGAGCAGTGCTTCGCTAGAGGCGTTGAGCAGGGCTTCGCTAGTGGCGTTGAGCAGGGCTTCGCTAGAGGCGTTGAGCAGGGCTTCGCTAGTGGCGTTGAGCAGTGCTTCGCTAGAGGCGTTGAGCAGTGCTTCGCTAGAGGCGTTGAGCAGGGCTTCGCTAGAGGCGTTGAGCAGAGCTTTGCTAGTGGCGTTGAGCAGAGCTTCGCTAGAGATGTTGAGCAGTGCTTCGCTAGAGGCGTTGAGCAGGGCTTCGCTAGAGGCGTTGAGCAGGGCTTCGCTAGAGGCGTTGAGCAGGGCTTCGCTAGAGGCATTGAGCAGTGCTTCGCTAGAGGCGTTGAGCAGTGCTTCGCTAGAGACGTTGAGCAGTGCTTCGCTAGAGGCGTTGAGCAGGGCTTCGCTAGAGGCGCTGAGCAGGGCTTCGCTAGAGGCGTTGAGCAGGGCTTCGCTAGAGGCGTTGAGTAGGGCTTCGCTAGAGGCGTTGAGCAGTGCTTCGCTAGAGGCGTTGAGCAGGGCTTCGCTAGAGATGTGAGCAGTGCTTCGCTAGAGGCGTTGAGCAGGGCTTCGCTAGAGGCGTTGAGCAGGGCTTCGCTAGAGGCGTTGAGCAGGGCTTTGCTAGAGGCGTTGAGCAGGGCTTCGCTAGAGGCGTTGAGCAGCAGGGCTTCGCTAGTGGCGTTGAGCAGTGCTTCGCTAGAGGCGTTGAGCAGCAGTGCTTCGCTAGTGGCGCTGAGCAGCAGGGCTTCGCTAGTGGCGCTGAGCAGCAGGGCTTCGCTAGTGGCGCTGAGCAGCAGGGCTTCGCTAGAGGCGTTGAGCAGGGCTTCGCTAGAGTCGTTGAGCAGGGCTTCGCTAGTGGCGTTGAGCAGGGCTTCGCTAGAGGCGTTGAGCAGGGCTTCGCTAGAGGCGTTGAGCAGGGCTTCGCTAGAGGCGTTGAGCAGGGCTTCGCTAGAGGCGTTGAGCAGGGCTTCGCTAGAGGCGTTGAGCAGGGCTTCGCTAGTGGCGTTGAGCAGGGCTTCGCTAGTGGCGTTGAGCAGGGCTTCGCTAGAGGCGTTGAGCAGGGCTTCGCTAGAGGCGTTGAGCAGGGCTTCGCTAGAGGCGTTGAGCAGGGCTTCGCTAGTGGCGTTGAGCAGGGCTTCGCTAGTGGCGTTGAGCAGGGCTTCGCTAGAGGCGTTGAGCAGGGCTTCGCTAGAGGCGTTGAGCAGGGCTTCGCTAGTGGCGTTGAGCAGGGCTTCGCTAGTGGCGTTGAGCAGGGCTTCGCTAGAGGCGTTGAGCAGGGCTTCGCTGGAGGCGTTGAGCAGGGCTTCGCTAGAGGCGTTGAGCAGGGCTTCGCTAGAGGCATTGAGCAGGGCTTCGCTAGAGGCATTGAGCAGGGCTTCGCTAGAGGCGTTGAGCAGGGCTTCGCTAGAGGCGTTGAGCAGGGCTTCGCTAGTGGCGTTGAGCAGGGCTTCGCTAGTGGCGCTGAGCAGCAGGGCTTCGCTAGTGGCGTTGAGCAGTGCTTCGCTAGAGGCGTTGAGCAGTGCTTCGCTAGAGGCGTTGAGCAGGGCTTCGCTAGTGGCGCTGAGCAGGGCTTCGCTAGAGGCGTTGAGCAGTGCTTCGCTAGTGGCGTTGAGCAGTGCTTCGCTAGAGGCGTTGAGCAGGGCTTCGCTAGAGGCGTTGAGCAGTGCTTCGCTAGAGATGTTGAGCAGGGCTTCGCTAGAGGCGTTGAGCAGGGCTTCGCTAGAGGCGTTGAGCAGTGCTTCGCTAGAGGCGTTGAGCAGTGCTTCGCTAGAGATGTTGAGCAGTGCTTCGCTAGAGGCGTTGAGCAGGGCTTCGCTAGAGGCGTTGAGCAGTGCTTCGCTAGAGGCGTTGAGCAGTGCTTCGCTAGAGGCGTTGAGCAGTGCTTCGCTAGAGGCGTTGAGCAGTGCTTCGCTAGAGGCGTTGAGCAGTGCTTCGCTAGAGGCGCTGAGCAGGGCTTCGCTAGTGGCGTTGAGCAGTGCTTCGCTAGAGGCGTTGAGCAGGGCTTCGCTAGAGGCGTTGAGCAGTGCTTCGCTAGAGTTGTTGAGCAGTGCTTCGCTAGAGGCGTTGAGCAGGGCTTCGCTAGTGGCGTTGAGCAGGGCTTCGCTAGAGGCGTTGAGCAGGGCTTCGCTAGTGGCGTTGAGCAGTGCTTCGCTAGAGGCGTTGAGCAGTGCTTCGCTAGAGGCGTAGAGCAGGGCTTCGCTAGAGGCGTTGAGCAGAGCTTTGCTAGTGGCGTTGAGCAGAGCTTCGCTAGAGATGTTGAGCAGTGCTTCGCTAGAGGCGTTGAGCAGGGCTTCGCTAGAGGCGTTGAGCAGGGCTTCGCTAGAGGCGTTGAGCAGGGCTTCACTAGAGGCGTTGAGCAGTGCTTCGCTAGAGGCGTTGAGCAGTGCTTCGCTAGAGATGTTGAGCAGTGCTTCGCTAGAGGCGTTGAGCAGGGCTTCGCTAGAGGCGTTGAGCAGGGCTTCGCTAGAGGCGTTGAGCAGGGCTTCGCTAGAGGCGTTGAGCAGGGCTTCGCTAGAGGCGTTGAGCAGTGCTTCGCTAGAGGCGTTGAGCAGGGCTTCGCTAGAGATGTTGAGCAGTGCTTCGCTAGAGGCGTTGAGCAGGGCTTCGCTAGAGGCGTTGAGCAGGGCTTCGCTAGAGGCGTTGAGCAGGGCTTTGCTAGAGGCGTTGAGCAGGGCTTCGCTAGAGGCGTTGAGCAGCAGGGCTTCGCTAGTGGCGTTGAGCAGTGCTTCGCTAGAGGCGTTGAGCAGCAGGGCTTCGCTAGAGGCGTTGAGCAGTGCTTCGCTAGAGGCGCTGAGCAGAGCGCGCGCACATACACACGCCTGTGTGTGTGTGTGTGTGTGTGTGTGGTTTTTTTTTTTTTTTTTTTTTTTTTGCAGGGATATTCCTGCGTGGGCCCTAAGCCTCTGGCTGGCCCACTAAGTGTTGCTTGTTTCTGTTTTACTTGGGCGGAGTATGAGTATTTATGACTCGTATGGTCGCTTCAGTAAGATTTTGCCATGTGTGTTTAACAACTTCTTCTGCTCTGTTGAATCTAAGTTGAAATCTTAATGGGTTTGTAACTGTGCACTGTGTTAGATAATGTTCCAGTGGTCTGTCGGGCATTTCTCCACAGTGTTGACATTTCCTCTCATCTTCCGGAACCTGTAAGCCTATTTCCCATGCACATGGGTATCCAAGCCTGATGCGTTGTAAATGTACTTCTGTTGCTCTACTGTTCCCTTTCATCAAACTAAGTGGTTCGTAGTTGGTTGAATTCTTGTACCAACCCGCAGGTGTGTGTGTGTGTGTGTGTGTGTGTGTGTTTCACCTGTTATCCCCTTGGCAGTCATTTCATGCACAGTTACTCTTCGGCCACAGATGTCAAACATCTCGACAGAGTTTGTTTATTTTGTGTTGAGACTTGACAGTTGTCGTGCCGATGTAACTGTTGTGGAAAGCACGATGTTTCCGCTCAAGAGGACTCCTGCCCTGGCTTGTGGCTCTTTGTGATCGCTGTTGTCAACCGGCTTGAGTCGGCCTCGATACGCATATAGTTCGTTATATACGCGTACGACAGTTCGTACGCTTCTGGTCCGACAAAACCACTTCAGATTGCCCCTTTGAACCAAGTGAACGTGGCCCCACGTCAACTCGTCCCCACTCTAAATGCGACTTATTTGTACGCTTGGAATACAGGCGTACGTCCTGAATGACTGTGGGAAACTTAAATGCCTTGGCAAGGTACGCTTTTCTGGGCTATTGAAAATTAACATCAATGGTTTAGGTTGGTCTACATTCGTACGATTTCGTACGCTAAAAGCTTCTATATCGTATGCTTGTTACGTGGTAGGAACGGGCTGGTGTCGGCAGCCCGTTCTCAACCACATTTGTTTACGCAACCGATCCTTGGCGTAAAAATTGAGGTGGTTTTAGGGGAAATTAAAACCACTGAAATATTGACGAGTGAGTGAGGGTTGGTGAGGTGAATAATGGTTGGTGTGAGTCAGGGGTGGTAATGAGGGGTCGTAATTAGTCAGTGTATAATGAGATAATTGTTTAATGAGGCAGCATCGCCTTGGCCAACATACTCGGGTTTAAAAAAAATATTTGACGTATGAGTACAAATTATATTACCACATGCACTGGTTGGTCGTGCGACGGCGGCGCTTCTTGCACGGTCGACGTTCGATTCCCATGGTCCAAGTGGTTGGACATCGTTCCTTTCCTCCATCATTGTATCTCAGCTCCTTGTCCTTGTACCACAGCTCCTTGTCCTCGTACCTCAGCTCCTTGTCCTCGTACCACAGCTCCTTGTCCTCGTACCTCAGTTCCTTGTCCTCTTACCTCAGCTCCTTGTCCTCGTACCACAGCTCCTTGTCCTCGTACCTCAGTTCCTTGTCCTCTTACCTCAGCTCCTTGTCCTCGTACCACAGCTCCTTGTCCTCGTACCACAGCTCCTTGTCCTCGTACCCCAGCTCCTTGTCCTCGTACCTCAGTTCCTTGTCCTCTTACCTCAGCTCCTTGTCCTCGTACCCCAGTTCCTTGTCCTCGTACCCCAGCTCCTTGTCCTCGTACCCCAGCTCCTTGTCCTCGTGCCCCAGCTCCTTGTCCTCTAGTCCTCTAATCTTTGTCTATCTCATATCCCCTGCCAGTGCTATATAGTCATACTTGGTTAATTAGCGTTTTCTCTTCATTATTGTCTTGCCTTCATCAATAAGGCAGCTCTTAATATTGGTTGTTAGACTCTTGCAGCCCCTGACTCTTGCAGCCCCTGACTCTTGCAGCCCCCTGACTCTTGCAACCCCCTGACTCTTGCAGCCCCCTGACTCTTGCAGCCCCCTGACTCTTGCAGCCCCCTGACTCTTGCAGCCCCTGACTTGCAGCCCCCTGACTCTTGCAGCCCCCTGACTCTTGCAGCCCCCTGACTCTTGCAGCCCCCTGACTCTTGCAGCCCCCTGACTCTTGCAGCCCCCTGACTCTTGCAGCCCCTGACTTGCAGCCCCTGACTTGCAGCCCCTGACTCTTGCAGTCCCTGACTCTTGCAGCCCCTGACTCTTGCAGCCCCCTGACTCTTGCAGCCCCTGACTTGCAGCCCCTGACTCTTGCAGCCCCTGACTCTTGCAGCCCCTGACTCTTGCAGCCCCCTGACTCTTGCAGCCCCCTGACTCTTGCAGCCCCTGACTTGCAGCCCCTGACTTGCAGCCCCTGACTTGCAGCCCCTGACTTGCAGCCCCTGACTCTTGCAGCCCCTGACTTGCAGCCCCTGACTTGCAGCCCCTGACTCTTGCAGCCCCTGACTTGCAGCCCCTGACTCTTGCATCCCCCTGACCTCTCCAGCCCTGGAGATCATCTACAGGGCTCCCTGACCCATGTTTTGAGATGAGCGCTGTTTGTTCTTGGTGTTCGGGCCGGAGCAGACCATTGTTTAAGCCACACTAAAGTGCACTCTGGGTATTATTCTTCCTCCCGCGGACACTATTGGGTTTCTCTCATTGTTTATGTTGTCTTTATTGATGTTTTTAGTTTGGATTGTGGAATTGTTAGCGATTGTGAATGTTGACGGATGTTGAAACGTTAGTGAACTTTTATTTGTTCTGTCTTGATTGGTTATTTGAACTTCTCTTCTCCCCTTCCCAACTTCTCTTCTCTACCTATCCTCTCCTACCTCTTCTTCATTTTTTCTTGTCTTTCCAGTTCCCCCTCTCCCCTCCTTCCCCTCTCCCCTCCTTCCCCTCTCCCCTCCTTCCCCTCTCCCCTCCTTCCCCTCTCCCCTCCTTCCCCCTCTCCCCTCCTTCCCCCTCTCCCCTCCTTCCCCCTCTCCCCTCCTTCCCCCTCTCCCCTCCTTCCCCCTCTCCCCTCCTTCCCCCTCTCCCCTCCTTCCCCTCTCCCCTCCTTCCCCCTCTCCCCTCCTTTCCCCTCTCCCCTCCTTCCCCCTCTCCCCTCCTTCCCCCTCTCCCCTCCTTCCCCCTCTCCCCTCCTTCCCCCTCTCCCCTCCTTCCCCTCTCCCCTCCTTCCCCCTCTCCCCTCCTTCCCCCTCTCCCCTCCTTCCCCCTCTCCCCTCTTTCCCCTCTCCCCTCCTCTTTCCCCTCTCCCCTCCTCTTTCCCCTCTCCCCTCCTCTTTCCCCTCTCCCCTCCTCTTTCCCCACTACCCCTTCCCCTCTTCTCCCCCATCTCTTCCTCTCCTCCCTTCCCCTTTTCTTCTCTTTACTCTCCACTGTCACCGCCTTCCTATTCCCCATTTCACTTCAGTAATGAATTTGCGTCCCCATAGTGGACAACACTTGTGTTTCTATACCTCACCATAATCGGTCACGTGTTCCTCTCCCACTCTTCACCCTGTCCATGGAGGACAGAAGAAAATGTACATATGCTGGTTAGCATTGTAAATGTGTGGCCGCGTCTGTGGTAGAAAATAATAATAATAAAAAAAACTTTTCACTTCTCTCCAAGTCTTCACTATGAAGATTATAAGGGGTAACGTTATCTTCCTGCGGTGTTGCCCAACCACTTGGGCTGGACGGTAGAGCGACGGTCTCGCTTTACGCAAGTCGGCGTTCTTCTTCATGCAGGTTGGGCACCATTCCTTCTCCTCCGTCCCATCCCAAATCATTATCCTGACCCCCTTTCAAGTGCTATATAGTCGTAATGACTTGGCGCTTTCTCCTGATAGTTCCATTCCTCCTTCCTGCAATGCTGTTCGCTGGAGATGTTGGTCAGTGTGCTTTGGTTTGGGCTTAATTTATACCGACAGATTTGTCTGTGTATCTCTCTCTCTCTTGGTATTTACTTTATACACAAGGTACATTCACAACAAGATGGCATCAAACAAGAAAGACGGTTGGGAATTCTGCATTTTTACATGATTGCCAGAAAGTATTCGACACTGTCTTTCACGAAAAGACTTCTTCTTAAGCTAGCGAAAGAGACTTGTGTATCGGGAAGAGGGCTAAGTTGGATGAGGGAGTACCTCACGATCAGGAGCCTAATGTCATCAACAGCGAGGGAGTACATCTTGGGAAGAGAACAAAGGGTCACAGTGAGAGGGTGAATATCAGAGAGACCCTCTCAGGTAGGAAACAAAGGGTTATAATGAGAGGGAAAAAATATCCTTTTGGGATGGATAAGATTATCTTCCTTACGATGATTCAGAGGATAAATGTCTCCGTGGCCCGATTTCTGGCCAGGTCTCCTGGGGCCAGATTCACGAAGCAGTTACACAAGTACTTACGAACATGTACATCTTTCTTCAATCTTTTACGGCTTTGGTTACATTTATTAAACAGTTTACAAGCATGAAAACTTGCCAATCAACTGTTGGCATTGTTATAAATAGCCTCCTGGTGCTTCGGAGCTCATTACCTGTTTAATAATTGTAAACAAAGCCGCCAAAGATTGAGAAAAGATGTGCAGGTTCGTAAGTGCTTGCGTAACTGCTTCGTGAATCTGGCTCCAGGTTGGTGGTCTGGTCAACCAGTCCGGTTCGCTGGTTGGACCTCTGCTTTTCAACGGGGGTATTCTGCACATCCTGCCATGCCTTCTGGTCTCGTGTGATATTATTTTCCGTGTGTAGATTTGAAACTAGTCCCTCTAATAGTTTCAAAGTGTAAATTATGAATCTCTTCCTCTTCCGCTCTAGAGAATACATACTAAAGCATTTTAATCGGTCGCAATAATTTAGATGTTTTATTGAGTGGATTTTAGCTCGTGTTCTTGAAGATATCCTCATATTGCACCAGAAATTTGCCAGTGCAGGCTACTAAACATATGGCTCTGTATGACTAACCATCCTGCGAGATGGGGACTTTTAGTATCACTGCTGCCTTATTTACTCTTGTGTTGATGATATCCTCATAATGCACACAGAGTCTGCCAGTGCAGACTACTGATCACATGTCTGTATGACTAACCATCCTGTGTGATGGGGATTTTTTAGCACACGTGGCTAGCTTTTTGACACACTGTACTCCCCTTCATATAGTCTAGGGTAGCTGCACAAATGCAGATGTACCTAATGTGTTAATAACAAAAAAGTGGATTCTAGTAGTAAATGACGTCTACATGCTCTTCAGGTTAACAATTTCTCCAGCTTTGAAGGCTGTTATTCTGCAATAATAATCCTCTCTAGGGTGTACTAGTGTCTTGAACAGTATCATCATTGGTATGTCATCTCTTGTTTGAAAGGTTCTTGTTATCCAACCTTTCTTTTTTCTTGCAGTTGTGACGGCTATTTTATTGTGTTTTCTAAAGGAGTAAGGTATTGTAAATGATTACTCCCAGATCTTTTGCATTGTTTTTATGTTCTACCATATGATTTGACTGTGTTTTATAAGTGGTTTTCATTTTTATATTTTCGTTTTTTTTCCATAGCGAAGGAGCTGGTACATAGCTTCATTAAGCATTATTTTCTGTGACGCATTGAAACACCTGCTTTTTATCAGATAGGAGGTTTGCTATCTCTATGTTTACTGTCATAAAAATCCTAGTGTCATCTGCAAAGGATGATACAGTACTATAGATTGTGTTCTCGTCTATGTCCGATATGAACATGAGAAACAGTACCGGAGCAAGCACAGTACCTTAGGAGGTTATCTTGGTTATCTTGAGAGGATTTCGGGGTTTAGTGTCCCCGCGGCCCGGTCCTCGACCAGGCCTCCTTTTTGTTACACACCCCCAGGAAGCAGCCCGTAGCAGCTGTCTTAACTCCCAGGTATCTATTTACTGCTAGGTAACAAGGGCATCAGGGTGAAAGAAACTTTTTGCCCATTTGTCTCCGCCTCCACCGGGGGTCGAACCCGGAACATTAGGACTACGAATCCGAAGCGCTGTCCACCCAGCTGTCAAGCGCCCATGGGGAGACTGAAGTTTTCACGGTGGATGAAGCGGATTTCACTTTGTTGACAAGAACACACTGGGTTCTGTCAGGAAATAGAAGATCCATCTTCCTGTTGTCCAGTAATTCCCTTTCAACACATTGTGTGTGCAATAACAACACGGTAAAATTTGTCGAAGGCTTTTGCGAATTCTGTGTAAATTACATCAACGTCTTGTTTGTCTTCCATGGCATCTAATGCCGTGTCATAGTGGTCCAGCAACTGTGATAGACAAGAGCGCCCTGTTCTGAAACATGTTGTTCGGGGTTATGGAGATGCTGTACTTACGTTTGTTTTGTGATATTACTTCTTAGCACTCTTTCAAAGATTTTTATGATGTGTGATGTTAGTGTTATCGGTTTTTAATTTTTACCTCTGCTTTATTTCCTCATTTATGGAGAGGTGTTATCTCTGCTATTGTTAGTATGTCAGGGATAACGCCAGTATCTAGGCTCTGTCTCCAAAGAATGTGAAGGGCCTGCGATAATTGTATTTTACAGTGCTTGATGAATATAGAATTCCAAGAATCCGGGCCTGGTGCAGAGTGCATAGGCATACTGTCTATGGCTTCTTCAAAATCCAGTGGGGATAGGGTGACATCTGATATATGATTTGATGTTGGTATCACATCCATGAAAAATTCATTTGGGTTATCAATCTTTAGTGTGTTTAGTGTGGCTCACTGAAGACGTACTGTTGGCTCAGTATTTCGCTGATTTCTTTGTTGTCATCTGCAAAAGTTCCATCTCCCTTGTACAGGGGGCACAATACTAGATGTAGTTTTTGTTCTAGAAAAGGTATTTCAGATTCTTCTGTTTCACTGGATTTGATATGATTAGTTCAGTTAGTTGCTTTAGTTCAGTCGTTTCTATTTCCCTGTATAGCCTTTCTTGTCGTTCTTGAGATAGGGTGCGACTCCCAAGTTGTTCCGCGATTTTTTATCTTCGCCTATTAAGGGAACTCTGTTTCTCTTTCAAGCTGCATCTCTGCATTGCTGAATTCTCCTAGAATTTAGGACTGGTTACGCAGGTCTGTTGCCCATGCTTGTCTGAATTTCAATTAGGTTGTGATGTGAGTGACAGGTATTAGTAATCATTATGTTTCAGCATCGGTATTTGTGAAAATAATGTCCAGAATGTTTTCTTTTCTAGTTGGTTCTACCATTTGCTGCTTTAAGGCAAATCTGTCACACGTGAGATGTCATTTGTGTGACTGTTCATCTAGGCTTCCTCCTGTGATTCTCTCCGATATAACTGTATTTGCTACATACTTTCATTTTAGGTCGGGAGGTGTCATTTTAGGTGGGGAGCCGGTCGGCCGAGCGCACAGCACGCTGGACTTGTGATCCTGTGGTCCTGGGTTCGATCCTAGGCGCCGGCGAGAAACAATGGGCAGAGTTTCTTTCACCCTATGCCCCTGTTACCTAGCAGTAAAATAGGTACCTGGGTGTTAGTCAGCTGTCACGGGCTGCTTCCTGGGGGTGGAGACCTGGTCGAGGACCGGGCCGCGGGGACACTAAAAAAGCCCCGAAATCATCTCAAGATAACCTCAAGATAGGTGCCGTTGGTTAAAGTTGCCAAGCAAAATGATGTTTGGGCCGGGATTTGGGGTTTTCTAAACCGCATTCTATTTCCATTAGTCTTTAAACTACTGAGGATTTTGCCTTCGGTATACAAGGACAATAACCGCATTTAGGATCGCTATTTTGATATCACCATTTCCACCATATCATTTGTGATGTTCAGCAGGTCAGTGCAGATGTGTCTTTGATGTACAGGCTGATCCCACCCTGTAGCCTGTGTTTCCAGTCACATCTGAAAAGATTGTACTCCAGTATCCATATTTCACTATCATAGTAATCCTTTGCGCGAGGCTCAGTTAGGGCGGCAAACACTGCTTTTGCCTCAGTCAGCAGGTCACCTTTAAAGTGGACTTTGATATGCGTGTGTTTTATACATTCAATGTTGGTAAATAGTAATGATGTTAACGTATTTGTGGAAGTGTTGGATGTTTTACTTGGTGTTAATATCTGGGGTTCTGGTAAGGGGGGCCACTGTGTTTGTCCTCTATAGCATTTGGCCGAGTTGGTGGTAGAGTCTGGACAGTTTTAGCCACCCTTCTCTTCTTCCTCTTGCTAAAAAAAAATCTCCCTGGTGTAGAGTTGTGGCTGTTTTCATAGTGGCGTTTTTTTGTTTTTATTCGCCTGGTTCCTCTTATATGCAACGGTGGACAGTCTCTGTTGAAACATTCTTTATCTAATGAGTCCTTTCAAAAGTCCTGCAAGAGCGGAGGAGGATGAGGAACGTGTTGCGTGTCAAATTGACCTCAAGTTTTCAAAGGTGGTCTAAAAAAGAATGGCTACATGACTTTAACCCAGACAAATGTAGTGTTATGAAGTTAGGGCCAGGTGAAGGCACCTTGAAAATGGCTCCTTGCAGCATTAAAGGAGAAATATTTGGGAATGCACATATTCCAGAATTAATTGTCAGAGGCACACAGCTTTCCAAACGCAATGTACAACCTACGTGAGACCATTCTTGAGTATGCTTCCGCAACATGAAACCCCCACAAGAAAAGAGCATCAAATTGATAGTAGAATAGATTTAAAGATATGCAGTAAGATTCATTTTTAGCCAAGAACTACGAGGAATTTTCAGCGAACTAGGCTTCACAACACTGGAACATAAAGGAAACAGGAAGGACATGATTGCGACATCAAAGATTCCAAGTGGAATTAACCAATTTGACCAAGCAACTGTGCAACGTGAGGTACTCCTGGAAGACTTAACCGAGGAGGAAATTGAGAGACTAATGAGTCGAGAGTCGTCAGGAAGAACTTCTTCAATGTGTGTAATACAAATTAAATGGACGAGATCACGTTGCCTAAACTAACTTAATATACAACTTTATATATTAGATGCTATTGGCAAAACGAGAGAAGTCATTGCATTAATCTACTAATGGTTTCTGAGGCGGGACTAAAGAGCTCACTCTCGACCCCGTAGTTCCGTCTAGGTGAGTAAACATATACTATGCAAATATTCGTTTCTAGTATTTATTCATTCCCGTGTAAATCTTCTCTCGTGTAATTATACAATTTTAAAACTTTTATTTCATGTATGATATATAGATCTTTGTTGGGTCTACATCTTTATTTCTTATATACACAATACAACAAAAATGCCTGTGGATATATATAATATATATATTGAGAGGGGAGAGAGAGAGAGAGATGAGATCTGGATAGCTGGATTGGAAGGTGGGGGGGAGGGGGAGGCGAGGGAGAGAGGGGGGGGGAGGGGGAGGCGAGGGAGGGAGAGAGGGGGGGGAGACCCCGAGTACCGCCGGGTACACCTTCACACGTGAAAGAGGTTGAGGTCTTGCTAGGCTACAACAGCCAGGGATGAAGGCGAGGCTAGTGAGGTCTACTGGTAGCCGGGCTGGTGAGGTCTACTGGTAGCCGGGCTGCTGGTACGTGGGCTGTGGCTTGTAGACGGCGGGCTTGAAGGTGATGGGGGGACCGTACTCCTTAGGGTATTGGGCTTCACCGTAGTAACTGACCTCAGCACGGTAGCCACCGTAGTCGTCGGCCACGTAAGTTACCTGTCACAAGTAACAAGTTGAGATGAGCACTTTCACCCCAGATACTTGTATTTTTGAAACTTGTGGTGTATTTAACCCAACCCACGTGTATGGGAAGACACCGTCACGACGTTTCGGTTCGTCTAAGGCCCTTATCTAGTCACTATTAGCCCTGATCAGGTCACTACAGGACCCTTTATCGTGTCGAGTGGGCCCTGATCAGGGGCCCTTGTCACTACATAAGGGTCCGGGATGGACCGAAACATCACCACTTCCTTTTCACGTGTGCGAGTGGGATTGTTGATTGTAATCCACGTTATTGTGACAATCTCCACACGTGTCATATGTTTTGTCTCTACCCTATAACACATAATATCTTACCGTCTGTTTGCGACCGTCGGGAAGTTGGACGGTGTAGGAGCCCTTGACGACCTTCCCGTCGGATTCTTCATTTTGGCTGAAGTCGGTACCTTTGTATTCATCCTTAACTCCATAGGCAAAGTTGTACGGAATCTGGAAGGAGCGTATAGATGTTTAATGGTTTATGCAACCTACTCTACTATAGAGTTAGACAGCTGCTACGGGCTGCTTCCTGGGGGTGTGTAACAACAAGAAGGCCTGGTCGAGGATCGGGCCGCGGGGACGCTAAGCCCCTAAATCATCTCAAGATAACCTAACTATTCTAAGTTGCATAACATTGAATTGGATTAGAGAGCTTTATTCGTAACAAGATGTACAAATCGTTACACTTCTGGTTGGACTGAACAGTTGAACGACGGTGTAAATCCAACATATATATTTTTGTTTACCAAAAAAAATTACAGCCTACTGGTGATATGACGAAACTGTCAAAATAGCAATGACGACAATAGTAGTAGTAATAAAATACACATTAAGACATAGCCCAGTCGATAGAGCGTCAGCCTCACACACATGGGGACCAGGGTTCGAGACCCATACAGCCCAGGTGAATGGAATGGAGGGAGGGAATTATCGGGGAAAAGCGTCAAGCCATTATGACTATATAGCACATGGAACGGGAGGTCAGGATAAGGATTTTGGGATGGGACGGGGCGGGAAGGAATGGTGTCCAACCACTTGGACGGTCGGGGATTGAACGCCGACCTGCATGAAGCGAGACCGTCGCTCTACCGTCCAAGCCAAGTGGTTGAGCGAATGGAATGGCATAGTAGTAGATTGACTGATGAAGATTAAGCCACCCAATAGGTGGCACGGGCATGAATAGCCCGCAAGTGGTGGACGTAGTAGTAATAACAGTTATGTACTGACCTCGGCGTAGACTTGTTTGTGTTGAGGAGCGCCGTAGAGGTCTTCAGGGAGTGCCAGGACCACACCCACCACCACCAGGACCAGGGCAACCTGTGGGGGGGGGGGGGGGGGAGACACGATAATTTCACGTTTCACAACAATAAAATGTTCTAAATAACTTCTAACCAAGCTCGCAGGAGTCAAAATTATATATATAGTTTTCGGAGGAAGAAAACGACTGAAAGTACTTGAGACAAAGACAGCTTTGTCTCAAGTACTTTGAATCTCAAGTACAGGGGGATAGTGGTTGTGTCCGGAAATAACAATTATACACCGTTTTGAAACAAGAAAATGCTTTACTTGACACAAAGTAAAACAAAGAAAGTAAAGTAGAAAGTAGTAGAACGTAGTAAACAAGTAGAAAATAAAGTAGAAAGTAGAAACAAAGTAAAACAAACTTTGTTCGAGAACAAAGAACGCTTGTAGGATAAAACGGAATTTCTTCGGGGCAAGAAAATACTTGAAACTACTTCCTATGAAGAGTTTTGCGATGATTTAAACGTTTTTCACATATTTTCGTCTATGGCGCACTTGTTGACTCTTCTTCTTCCCAGGTTACATAGACTACACAAGCTAAGCTTTAATCTTCACTCGTACGACTTATTCAGAGTGAACAGTTGCACTGTACAGCCCACGGAGAGCACAGTTGACGAAACAGTAGTGGACGGGTTGAAAAAGTGCAGGAAGTGCCGGACCAACCGGGTTCTAATAGGTGGGCGTGCGAGCCGCTCCAAGCAACAGCCTGCTGGATCACAAGTAATCACAAGACAAGCCTGGCCCCCAGTCTGGGCTTAGGGGAGTTGAATAACTCTCAGAACCTCTCTCCAGGTATACTAGAGGTATATGGCACTCTCCAGGTATACTGGAGGGATATGGCACCCCAGGTATACTAGACGTGTATGGGACTCCAGGTATACTTGAGGTATACACACTCCAGGTATACTAGAGGTATATGGCACTCCAGGTATACTTGAGGTATATGGCACACTCCAGGTATATGGCACTCCAGGTATACAAGAGGTATATGGCACTCCAGGTATACTAGAGGTATATGGCACTCTTCAGGTATATTAGAGGTATATCACACTCCAGGTATACTAGAGGTATATCACACTCCAGGTATACTAGAGGTATATCACACTCCAGGTATACTAGAGGTATATCACACTCCAGGTATACTAGAGGTATATCACACTCCAGGTATACTAGAGGTATATCACACTCCAGGTATACTAGAGGTATATCACACTCCAGGTATACTAGAGGTATATCACACTCCAGGTATACTAGAGGTATATCACACTCCAGGTATACTAGAGGTATATCACACTCCAGGTATACTAGAGGTATATCACACTCCAGGTATACTAGAGGTATATCACACTCCAGGTATACTAGAGGTATATCACACTCCAGGTATACTAGAGGTATATCACACTCCAGGTATACTAGAGGTGTATCACACTCCAGGTATACTAGAGGTATATCACACTCCAGGTATACAAGAAGTATATCACACTCCAGGTATACTAGAAGTATATCACACTCCAGGTATACTAGAGGTATATCACACTCCAGGTATACAAGAGGTATATCACACTCCAGGTATACTAGAGGTATATCACACTCCAGGTATACAAGAGGTATATCACACTCCAGGTATACAAGAGGTATATCACACTCCAGGTATACAAGAGGTATATCACACTCCAGGTATACAAAAGGTATATCACACTCCAGGTATACTAGAAGTATATCACACTCCAGGTATACTAGAGGTATATCACACTCCAGGTATACTAGAGATATATCACACTCCAGGTATACTAGAGGTATATGGCACACTTCAGGTATACTAGAGGTATATCACACTCCAGGTATACTAGAGATATATCACACTCCAGGTATGCTAGAGATATATCACACTCCAGGTATGCTAGAGATATATCACACTCCAGGTATACTAGAGGTATATCACACTCCAGGTATGCTAGAGATATATCACACTCCAGGTATACTAGAGGTATATCACACTGCAGGTATACTAGAGATATATCACACTCCAGGTACACTAGAGGTATATGGCACACTCCAGGTATACTAGAGGTATATGTCACACTTCAGGTATACTAGAGGTATATCACACTCCAGGTATACTAGAGGTATATGGCACACTCCAGGTATACTAGAGGTATATGGCATACTCCAGGTATACTAGAGGTATATGGCACACTTCAGGTATACTAGAGGTATATCACACTCCAGGTATGCTAGAGATATATCACACTCCAGGTATACTAGAGATATATCACACTCTCCAGGTATACTAGAGATATATCACACTCCAGGTATACTAGAGGTATATGGCACTCTCCAGGTATACGGTACTCCAGGTATACGAGAGGTATATCACACTCCAGGTATACTAGAGATATAGGCACCTTGTAAGACATGTCGAGACGGAGTCGGGGAAGAGTGTGGTGGTTGAGAGGCGCTACTCCACACATATATACACCAGGGGTCGAACCCCGGCCTTGGCCTCAAGCTGACGGCACCAGCTTAGTGTGTACGGCAGCTGGGAAAGGCAGGGAAAAAGTCCCGTCATTCTGAGGTGAATATAGAGTAAGGTCGCTGGGAGGGGTGAATATAACAGGGGAATATAATGCTATCGCGAATTCCTCAGAAACCTTGTACCTTGAGATCGAGTTAGCTGTTGTTGCTGTATTTCCGCACCATCAAGGAGAAATTCCCGGTAACTTTCTCGTAGTCATTTTCACTCGAAAGGGATTAACATGTTGATATGTGAGACTAAGCATGTGCGATGGTAAATGTGTGACAATATCGACTAATCCGTTTAAAATGCTGTGCATTAGTACATATTAAAGCACCTTAATATTGAAGTAATAAATGTGTAGACCTCAATGGGATGGTGGGTTGGTAGGGTTCGTACGTGCGTGGTTCGGCTAAACAGTTGTCTTTTTTTACGGAGTAAATAGAGTGAACTGGGTGATATATCAGTGTAATATTACAGTGAACTTCATTTTAGTTGACCTGATTAGCTTAAGGTCAGGTCACGGGATGTATTTTGATGTATTGTATTCTGATATATTGGGATGTGTTGCTGGAATGGCAACACTGAGTGGTTGTTGTTGTGTCAGGGGGGGGGTAGTGTAGTGGTTGTGTCAGGGGGTAGTGTAGTGGTTGTGTCAGGGGGTAGTGTAGTGGTTGTGTCAGGGGGTAGTGTAGTGGTTGTGTCAGGGGGGGGTGTGTAGTGGTTGTGTCAGGGGGTAGTGTGTAGTGGTTGTGTCAGGGTGGGGTAGTGTGTAGTGGTTGTGTCAGGGGGTAGTGTGTAGTGGTTGTGTAAGGGGGTAGTGTGTAGTGGTTGTGTCAGGGGGTAGTGTGTAGTGGTTGTGTAAGGGGGTAGTGTGTAGTGGTTGTGTCAGGGGGTAGTGTGTAGTGGTTGTGTCAGGGGGTAGTGTAGTGGTTGTGTCAGGGGGGGTAGTGTGTAGTGGTTGTGTCAGGGGGTAGTGTAGTGGTTGTGTCAGGGGGGGTAGTGTGTAGTGGTTGTGTCAGGGGGTAGTGTGTAGTGGTTGTGTCAGGGGGGTAGTGTAGTGGTTGTGTCAGGGAGGTAGTGTGTAGTGGTTGTGTCAGGGGGTAGTGTGTAGTGGTTGTGTCAGAGGGTAGTGGTTGTGTCAGGGGGTAGTGTGTAGTGGTTGTGTCAGGGGGTAGTGTAGTGGTTGTGTCAGGGGGTAGTGTAGTGGTTGTGTCAGGGGGTAGTGTAGTGGTTGTGTCAGGGGGGGGTAGTGTAGTGGTTGTGTCAGGGGGTAGTGTGTAGTGGTTGTGTCAGGGTGGGGTAGTGTGTAGTGGTTGTGTCAGGGGGTAGTGTGTAGTGGTTGTGTAAGGGGGTAGTGTGTAGTGGTTGTGTCAGGGGGTAGTGTGTAGTGGTTGTGTAAGGGGGTAGTGTGTAGTGGTTGTGTCAGGGGGTAGTGTGTAGTGGTTGTGTCAGGGGGTAGTGTAGTGGTTGTGTCAGGGGGGGTAGTGTGTAGTGGTTGTGTCAGGGGGTAGTGTAGTGGTTGTGTCAGGGGGGTAGTGTGTAGTGGTTGTGTCAGGGGGTAGTGTGTAGTGGTTGTGTCAGGGGGGGGTAGTGTAGTGGTTGTGTCAGGGGGGTAGTGTGTAGTGGTTGTGTCAGGGGGTAGTGTGTAGTGGTTGTGTCAGAGGGTAGTGGTTGTGTCAGGGGGTAGTGTGTAGTGGTTGTGTCAGGGGGTAGTGTGTAGTGGTTGTGTCAGGGGGTAGTGTGTAGTGGTTGTGTCAGGGGGGGTAGTGTGTAGTGGTTGTGTCAGGGGGTAGTGTGTAGTGGTTGTGTCAGGGGGTAGTGTGTAGTGGTTGTGTCAGGGGGTAGTGTAGTGGTTGTGTCAGGGGGGGGGGTAGTGTAGTGGTTGTGTCAGGGGGGGTAGTGTGTAGTGGTTGTGTCAGGGGGTAGTGTGTAGTGGTTGTGTCAGGGGGGGGTAGTGTAGTGGTTGTGTCAGGGGGGGGGTAGTGTGTAGTGGTTGTGTCAGGGGGGGTAGTGTAGTGGTTGTGTCAGGGGGTAGTGTAGTGGTTGTGTCAGGGGGGTAGTGTGGTTGTGTCAGGGGGTAGTGTAGTGGTTGTGTCAGGGGGGGGGGTAGTGTAGTGGTTGTGTCAGGGGGGGGGGGTAGTGTAGTGGTTGTGTCAGGGGGTAGTGTGTAGTGGTTGTGTCAGGGGGTAGTGTAGTGGTTGTGTCAGGGGGTAGTGTGTAGTGGTTGTGTCAGGGGGTAGTGTGTACTGGTTGTGTCAGGGGGGGGGTAGTGTGTAGTGGTTGTGTCAGGGGGGGTAGTGTGTAGTGGTTGTGTCAGGGGGGGGGTAGTGTGTAGTGGTTGTGTCAGGGGGGTAGTGTGTAGTGGTTGTGTCAGGGGGTAGTGTGTAGTGGTTGTGTCAGGGGGTAGTGTGTAGTGGCTGTGTCAGGGGGTAGTGTGTAGTGGTTGTGTCAGGGGGTAGTGTGTAGTGGTTGTGTCAGGGGGTAGTGTGTAGTGGTTGTGTCAGGGGGTAGTGTGTAGTGGTTGTGTCAGGGGGTAGTATGTAGTGGTTGTCAGGGGGTAGTGTAGTGGTTGTGTCAGGGGGTAGTGTGTAGTGGTTGTGTCAGGGGGTAGTGTGTAGTGGTTGTGTCAGGGGGTAGTGTGTAGTGGTTGTGTCAGGGGGTAGTGTGTAGTGGTTGTGTCAGGGGGGGGTAGTGTGTAGTGGTTGTGTCAAGGGGTAGTGTGTAGTGGTTGTGTCAGGGGGTAGTGTGTAGTGGTTGTGTCAGGGGGGGTAGTGTGTAGTGGTTGTGTCAGGGGGGTAGTGTAGTGGTTGTGTCAGGGGGGTAGTGTGTAGTGGTTGTGTCAGAGGGTAGTGGTTGTGTCAGGGGGTAGTGTGTAGTGGTTGTGTCAGAGGGTAGTGGTTGTGTCAGGGGGTAGTGTGTAGTGGTTGTGTCAGGGGGTAGTGTGTAGTGGTTGTGTCAGGGGGGTAGTGTGTAGTGGTTGTGTCAGGGGATAGTGTGTAGTGGTTGTGTTAGGGGGTAGTGTGTAGTGGTTGTGTCAGGGGGGGTAGTGTAGTGGTTGTGTCAGGGGGTAGTGTGTAGTGGTTGTGTCAGAGGGTAGTGGTTGTGTCAGGGGGGTAGTGTGTAGTGGTTGTGTCAGGGGGTAGTGTAGTGGTTGTGTCAGGGTGTAGTGTAGTGGTTGTGTCAGGGGGTAGTGTAGTGGTTGTGTCAGGGGGTAGTGTGTAGTGGTTGTGTCAGGGGGTAGTGTGTAGTGGTTGTGTCAGGGGGTAGTGTAGTGGTTGTGTCAGGGGGTAGTGCGTAGTGGTTGTGTCAGAGGGGTAGTGTGTAGTGGTTGTGTCAGGGTGTAGTGTAGTGGTTGTGTCAGGGGGTAGTGTGTAGTGGTTGTGTCAGGGGGTAGTGTGTAGTGGTTGTGTCAGGGGGTAGTGTGTAGTGGTTGTGTCAGGGGTTAGTGTGTAGTGGTTGTGTCAGGGGGTAGTGTGTAGTGGTTGTGTCAGGGGGTAGTGTAGTGGTTGTGTCAGGGGGTAGTGTGTAGTGGTTGTGTCAGGGGGTAGTGTGTAGTGGTTGTGTCAGGGGGGGGGGTAGTGTAGTGGTTGTGTCAGGGGGTGGTGTGTAGTGGTTGTGTCAGGGGGTAGTGTGTAGTGGTTGTGTCAGGGGGTAGTGTGTAGTGGTTGTGTCAGGGGGTAGTGTAGTGGTTGTGTCAGGGGGTAGTGTAGTGGTTGTGTCAGGGGGTAGGGTAGTGTGTAGTGGTTGTGTCAGGGGGTAGTGTGTAGTGGTTGTGTCAGGGGGGTAGTGTGTAGTGGTTGTGTCAGAGGGTAGTGTGTAGTGGTTGTGTCAGGGGGTAGTGTAGTGGTTGTGTCAGGGGGGGTGTGTAGTGGTTGTGTCAGGGGGTAGTGTGTAGTGGTTGTGTCAGGGGGTAGTGTGTAGTGGTTGTGTCAGGGGGTAGTGTAGTGGTTGTGTCAGGGGGTAGTGTAGTGGTTGTGTCAGGGGGTAGTGTGTAGTGGTTGTGTCAGGGGGTAGTGTGTAGTGGTTGTCAGGGGGTAGTGTGTAGTGGTTGTGTCAGGGGGTAGTGTGTAGTGGTTGTGTCAGGGGGTAGTAGTGTAGTGGTTGTGTCAGGGGGTAGTGTGTAGTGGTTGTGTCAGGGGGTAGTGTGTAGTGGTTGTGTCAGGGGGTAGTGTGTAGTGGTTGTGTCAGGGGGTAGTGTGTAGTGGTTGTGTCAGGGGGTAGTGTGTAGTGGTTGTGTCAGGGGGTAGTGTAGTGGTTGTGTCAGGGGGTAGTGTGTAGTGGTTGTGTCAGGGGGTAGTGCGTAGTGGTTGTGTCAGGGGGGTAGTGTGTAGTGGTTGTGTCAGGGTGTAGTGTAGTGGTTGTGTCAGGGGGTAGTGTAGTGGTTGTGTCAGGGGGTAGTGCGTAGTGGTTGTGTCAGGGGGTAGTGTGTAGTGGTTGTGTCAGGGGGTAGTGTGTAGTGGTTGTGTCAGGGGGTAGTGTGTAGTGGTTGTGTCAGGGGGTAGTGTGTAGTGGTTGTGTCAGGGGGTAGTGTGTAGTGGTTGTGTCAGGGGGTAGTGTGTAGTGGTTGTGTCAGGGGTTAGTGTGTAGTGGTTGTGTCAGGGGGTAGTGTAGTGGTTGTGTCAGGGGGTAGTGTGTAGTGGTTGTGTCAGGGGTTAGTGTGTAGTGGTTGTGTCAGGGGGTAGTGTGTAGTGGTTGTGTCAGGGGGTAGTGTGAAGTGGTTGTGTCAGGGGGTAGTGTGTAGTGGTTGTGTCAGGGGGTAGTGTGTAGTGGTTGTGTCAGGGGGTAGTGTGTAGTGGTTGTGTCAGGGATTAGTGTGTAGTGGTTGTGTCAGGGGGTAGTGTAGTGGTTGTGTCAGGGGGAGGGGGGTAGTGTAAGGGCAAGAGGTAACCTCACGTATCACTGGTAGGGTGTGACCACAAACTTCCATGGCCCCGAGGAGCACCAC